AAATGATTGGTAATAGTGATGACGCACAATGATCTCACGTTTCACCTCACGTCCGTCCTCACGCACTCAACCTCACGTCCTCACGCGCGCTGACCTCGCGTCCTCACTCGCGCTGACCTCGCGTCCTCACGCGCGCTGACCTCACGTCCCAACGGCAAGTGTTTTCGGTATCGTCGTGATTTTTACCGCCTCGGGTCAGTCGAAGATTTCCAGTTAGCTAACGGATGACGCCTTAGCCCGTATCTCTGTGCACATAACCTGTGTTCAGTCCGACACCCGCCGGTACAATTGTCCAAATGCCGCCAGTGATTGATGAGAAGGGTGCTCAACGTGCAAAAACAATTTCGTTTAATGTAGCTCATGATAAGAGCGCACACTTGACATAAAACAGGAGCTATGCTTCACATCAAATGCACCCACTAATCACATAATCCAGAACTGGATTATATTGATAACTGAGCATGGACAAAAGTGTTCTTTGACAAAAACAAATGAAGACACTTTAGGGCGATCTGCATTTTCTAGGTAAGGCGTATGCGATGATACAGAAAAAACGGCCACGATTTTAACGCTTTATTGTACCAGCGATGTCATGCGGAGGAACAGCGAATCACATCAACAACACCACGAACGCATAATTCACAACACGTGTCTTATTGAAACAGTCATAGCTTTTTTCTAGCGCAACACATGCTTTCGCGTATGACACCAGGTGGTATGTGTCGGAGTTAGGAGGGATCTGCGTCGGCGACCGAGTTGAGGAGGAATCTTCAGCGACTTTCCAATGGTCCGGGACTGAAGATACGCCAGAGTTTGAGCAAAAACGGCATGGGACAATTGATTCTGTTACGGCACACGCGAGTTCATGCCTGATGACGAGAGATGAAAGAGGGAATGAGGACAAAACACGTACAGTGAGTTTTTCGCGGCACCACTCACATGTGTGCACCGGAGTTTACACGGAACAAGCAAGCGTTCATTACTCAGCCACCCGCACGCGGTGCAACGAGGTGAACAGCACTGCCGTACAAGTGGCACGCAACCACCATAGGAACGAACTACTCGACATATGAGGCACGTAGTAAAAGGAACACACTCTTCTCCAAACTATGAGAGCTGTCAACGCCTTCAGCATCGTCGCTATACATCAGCTTTTGCTGAACACGTGATACGACTCGGGCCTGGATATCGACTACGACCACGCCGAAGCGCATAGGATACGTGTGTCTACTTTCTCTGGACTGGTAATGTTCCCTCCCTGAGCAAACGACATCTTGAAAACTCGGCCGCACGGGCTGCGTTTCATGCTAAGAATGACCTTTCCAAACAAAAGTACCGGCTGGAACCAATCCATGACTGTAAACAAAACAAATGCAAAAACAGTGCTACGCAGCCATGGGTTCCACTGAGAGGAACCGTGAAAGCAACCACTTCAACGAGAAAAACACATTAAAACCAAGAAAAAACCTAAAAATCAACACCTATTCGTGAAATTGAATTCATGCTCAGCAATAGAAAACATCAATTATTCACAGAGATCTGCTGTTTGCAGCACGTGCGGCACGTCGCCATCTTGAGGGCAGGATCGTCCTGCCGGCGGCACGCACACTAATCTTGTATCCATAAGCTCTAGATGACACCGGCAAGCGATGTCTGCTAAACACGGTGGTGCGTGGCTGAGCGAACAGCACGCCTGGTAGCCAACGCCGTTCATCTCCATGCTCACCACTATACTGCTGTCGCCTGTGGAGACAGAGCCTGGTGGTGTTACCAGCTGGGTGCACTTCGCCCCCGGGCGATCTGCCGGCTCACTGGCCACTCCTGACGAGGATATCAGCCTCCTCCAACAGCGCCAGCTGCTCATCTCGGGCTGCTGCTTATGTTTACATCCGGAGCGTATCAATTGCCAACCATGGACCACTGATGACGACACAACGACGACGACATGTGACGCCACAAACGGACGATCGGGGATGGAGAAGGGCTGGTGCGGATAAGGGGTATTTCAGGCCCATTCCTATGCAACCGGTTAGGCGTCATTCTAAACTTGAAGCTCATTGGAGGACACGTCCTCCGTCCTCCTCGGTGGTGCCACCCGTGTGCACTAACCGAACACTAATGCTTAAAATAGCGCCGTTGATGTCTTTCGCTGAAGGCAACCCCAGCAACACATACCCTTACGAACAGCCATTATCAAGCCTGAGCGCGGCAAGAGCGCGGCCTCGGCGGCGAACGAGCTGCGCCGCCCGCTCACCTTTTGTCGAGATGCTCATCTTGGTGTGTGGGAAGGCATCCGGTCTCCCGTTGCCTTCGTCTGAACGGGCCTTTTTGTGTGTCGGCGGGGACATCTCCTCTGGACAGTCCCGCTTGATATTCGAGTGCCGCTCTCGCTCCTTACTCAGCGCTCTTACGCGCTCCTGCACCAGCTCGCACTCCCTCTCGCGCTCCTCATCTCGTTCTCTTTCTTGCCTGAAACGAAGCATACAAATTTCTTAGGGTGCGTTAGTGCATCACGTGGTTCTCTTTAATTGTGGCATGGCCATCTATGCGAGGGACTTTCCAAAGATCATCGGGGTAGGGGAGACCGAGTTTTAGGTCCATTCTCCCTCTGGTACACTGACACGTCTACCCGGTGACAAACACGATTAACGGTGGTGGTTACAAAGTATGCAAAAATCGTGAACGTTTACATTGCCACTTGCATCATGTCATCAAGCACACGCCATGTCTAAGCACGCCTGGTTCGTTCCCGCCGCTAAAGAAAGCAACAAACAAGGAGACTTAGCCGCTTCAGCGCCTTTCGCCATCTGGGTATCATCGAGTCATCCTAGGAGCCATAGTCCCTGCCTCGGTCTCGGTACCCTAACCGTTTCTGAGTCCATGACCTGAATCTCGTCTATATCTGACCACCTCGACGAACCCAGAAGTTCCGAGGCCCTGCGTCGGAACCCGCCGCCATCTTGAGAATTCAGCGTCGTGTTGGATAACGCAATGCTAATCGAGATAATGGTCACATGTATTGATAATATAACTACAAAGATAGCACGGTACCAGAACACAATGTTCACATGCGGTTAGAAAGCAATGCAAATGAGCGTGCGCTCGCCCACCTGGCCATCTCCCTGTGAACGCCGAGGTTGAGGGCCTCGCTCTGCGGCGCCAGGCCCATGCCCTCGGGCCTCCTGAGCGGCGGCGACGGCGGCGGCTGTCTGTTGCTGTACAAGTTCCACAGCGTCATCAGCGTGTCGTTAGGAGTCGGCATCCCCGGCGGGACACATGCCGGCCAGAAACGGAGAGCCTGCGCAGAAAAAAACATGGTCGATGGAGGCAGACCAGGATCTCACACCGCCGTACAACTAGAGGTGCCAGATGAGAACCAAAAATTACCACTTGGTTGGGGTCCAAAAGCGGACTGATTTCTGAAATAGTATTGGCGCGTTAACATGCGATCTTTTCTGTTCATCTGAAGTTCTGTTTCTGAAGTGTCCGTATGCAATGGTCAGGATCCCACAAATACCATCCACTTTGTGTGGAACAAAATTACTTCAAGGCCCTGTTCTCACCCTCATAACCAGGGGGGGGGGGAACCATAGATAAAGTGCCCAAAATCCATTCTAAAAGGATTCCCTGTGAAGTTTTGCATACATTCAAGAAGCATGACAGGTTTCTGTCAAGTTAACCCACGCCCTGATAGAAGGAGGATCGATGCGAATCCTATAAGTTTTTGAAGACACCTCGCCGACATGCGAAGCAATTGCGCCAAAATTTTTAGTAGCCTTTGAAGCACTCATTGCGCGTGTGTTGATACCAAAAACGCGCTCCTAGCTTGACTAGTTTCGGAGCAGCGGCGATTTCTTAGGAACACTGCACGGCGATCTAAGTCAGGCGCCAACGGCGAGCGGCAACTGACCACGCCACGGAACGCGCGCGGCGGGCCGACATTGTTATATTACAGAGCCGTATATCATAAGCATATACCCAAATCCCACATACACCACCGTGCTCAAAATTAAACAGGTACACGCCTGTTTATTTTGTGTGGCCATAACGCGTGGTTTCGTATACATAATGTAAGGCTGAAAAAGTGCAGCTGTCAGGAAAATTTTACCTTCGACCTAACGTAATAGGGTCAATAACTTAACCTAACAACATAAAAACTAGTACAAATCGCGAATCTCACGAGACTAATACACCTGTTTTTTGTTGTTTTTTTGTGCTAACACCCACCTTCCTTTTATTCTGGAAACGCGTGAGAGGGAGAGGTCGCATCGACCACCTATCAATCCACATGATACAAAACCGTGAATCAGGACAAGGGTTAAAGTAGTGTGTTCAATGTGCTTTGCACAAAAAACAGCAGTAAAACCTACGGTAGAGTAGTTTTTCAGTACTTGAGTGTTCACTGGGGGCTCGCTGGGACTCAGCAGAGTCAACAAAGTGAATTGAACATTCAGAACTCATTAGGGGTACAGCCCACGCATCTTCACAAACAGAGGTTACCAATTACCAGTACCAGAGGTCGCCAATTCATGACCAACTGCTGTGCGCAGCACAAAAAAGAAAAATAGCAAATATGGGAAGAACAAAACAGTGCTCAAGGCTTTGATTTATCACCAGTTTCCCGACTTACTGATTTTTCCTAACTTCGTACATATTTATCAGCCATACTTGGTGTGTTCCCTAAATCCTTTAACAACAGGACCAACCAAGTAGGTATCCTTCCAAGGCAGGCTCCTCATGTGCAAAGTCTGCTCCTTAAACTGTCTTTACGATGAACACGCCAAACTGCATCAGTCACATAATTCTAGCAGCCATTTTTGAGTGGTTGATTTCCGTCTTACACTTCGTCAGTGGAAATGCAAATTATTGATATAATAAAGCAGCAGACGTTGAAATAATGCTTGCACGAGTTTAAATAAAGAAACGCTGTTTAGCACGACAGTTCATAACGGATGCTAAAGTGGTGAAAAAGAAGCAATACATAAGTATTCACCGCAAGGTGCGCTGCACGCAAACTTAACAGTCGGTGCTGACCTACAGGCGCGTGCGAAGCGCTTCGGTTCAAGTAGGGCGCTGCGTCGTCGTACTGGGGACTGGTGTGGCTAGAATATCTATTGGAAGAAGATAATGTTTTCTCCGATTTGGTTAATCTTTTCAGCCTTCTTGTTTGGGCCTCAGCGGAAAACTATGTGTTGCTGCACTGGTTTACGTGCGGGTGGCACCTGTCTCGAAAGTGGAGCGCTGAATGCTCTATGCCATGTTAACCGTTGGGAGTAGAAGACAGATTGCTGCTAAAACGTAAATTCACCTTTTATACGACAGAAGTTCGTCGCGTGCTATGCACAGGCTAGTGTTTTTTCATCGGTCGTCATCCTGCAACTTTCCATAGCCTGAGGAATCTGGAAGGCTTGTGTTGCTTATTTCAATTCAGGGCGTTGAACGTACGTACTGAATGACCCTGCCTGCTCCCAGACTTTATTTTGCGGCTGTAATGCTGAGTAATAACCATTTGCTCGGAACGTGAGGTCTGATTCACCTTTGTAGTGTCTTTGGCCCCATTTATCTCTCATGCAATGCCGTATCCATCGGTGGTGGTGCCCCCATACAGTGGTGCTGCCTTCAAGGCTGAGATTGTAATGCATTCACATGACATGTGCTGAGCTCTGTCTACTATTTATGAGAATGTGGCACATCATGCTATCTTATTTTAATGGATATTGTGAGCCATCAGCCATGTGTTTAAAACATGTACTTATATAATAAAACCGCCTGGATGCAGTTGAGATGTTACTATTATTATTTATTCCCCACTTTTTATTTAGATTTAACATGCAACATTTCGCAATCTGAAATAATCAAAATTTGCTTGTTTAAGACATGGCTAAAAATTTTGCCAATGACCGACTGAAAACCAAACAGATCAACACGGTTTTTTTGGTTTACTAAATTTTTGGTCCCCGAATGGAATCACTAGTACAAGCGGCGACCAGTGGACGAGGACCGTGGATTACTGGTACAAACGGCGACCGGTGGACGAGGACCGTGGATCACTGGTACAAACGGCGACCAGTGGACGAGGACCGTGGATCACTGGTACAAACGGCGACCGGTGGACGAGGACCGTGGATCACTGGTACAAGCGGCGACCAGTGGACGGGACCGTGGATCGCTGGTACAAAGGTGACCAGTGGGCTTGGTGGCCATCCAGTGACCGCTGAGGGTGGCCACCATTCACCACCGGTGGCCCGCCGGTCCGGCGATGGCCCATCCAGGCCGCCATCGGAGGTCGCATTTTTCACGCCAGTGTCAGTTGGCCGATCAAGCCCACCACTGACCGCCTAGCTGACCGACTCGCCCGCCTTTCGTCATCACAGCCCGGTGGTCAGCGCCAGTGAACACGCCTAGCATCACCAGCGCACCTCACGATTATCACCAGTGAATTCAGGGCATTGAGGTTTCACGACGCACTCAGCTGCGGAGGCTATATGGCGTCAATTGCCTGTCCCCCTGTCAGGGAGGACGGGCACACCGCTGAACTCCCTGATCACCACAAGTGAAACTGCTGGTCATCATAGTGAATCCACTGTGGGATCACCTGTGAACAGCCTGATCATCGCTAGCGAATACATTTATCATCAAAAGTGGGACTGCTGATTGATCAGCACCAGTCAGCCTGGCAATCCTCACCGGTGAATCTCTCAAACATCGCCAGTGAACTCTCTGACAAGCGGGTGGGATGGTCAGCACCAGTGAACGCTCCCTTCCTCCCTTCACCATCAGCTTATCCGCTAATCATTACCAATGAACCCACTGGTCCCAACCAGTAAGACCGCCAGCCATCACAAGCGAACCCGCTGATGAACACCAGTGAGCCTGTTGATCATCACCAGTGAACTCCATGATTATCGCCAGTGAGCCTGCTGATCTTCACCAGTGATTATGACTGGCAGACCACCGCGAACGGTACCGGTGGCCCACCAACACCGGTGGACCAGTCAATCATAGCAGGTAGTCTTCACAGCCTGCCCGAGCCACCCGGCGGCGGCATTAATGGCTGCACCGTCGGCGGCATTAATGGCTGCTAATGGCCATTACGGAGAGGCCGGCGGGCCGTTTCCGAGAGAGCGGTGGGCCAAACCAAGGCCGATCGGCAAGATGCACGAGTCGGATATCAGAAACCGAGGATCAATCCGCCAGATAAGGGTAATCGGGCACGGCGTAACGACAGCTCTGCTCGGGGAAGCGGCCGGATCAAGGACGCCAGCGCGCGCACTCTGTGCCAGCAGGGTCGGCCAGATAAGCTTGAGGACGACTGTTCAGTGCTCAGACTGTTAAACGGGGTACTGAGATGCCAGCGATACCGCGTAACGACGCACCACTATCGACTGAACCCAAATGCTCGGCGAGAAGGCTCGTTCCACCCAAAATCCGTTCGGGTGTGAGGCTGAGTGCTGCCAATGGTTGGGCGCCGCCTTGCGTGCGAGCGTACGATAGGTGAGTCATCACCATGACCAGTGGTGACCCAACGCAAGGTGGCTCCTCTTAGCTCACCAAGTAAGTTGTCCTAGGTAAAGAAAAGGTCAGTTTCCGGTGCAAAATAACTGAAAATTGGAAAGTGATCTCTATATTCCCTTGACGATATGAGCGTTTCTCCTCATGTTTTCGGTGATGCACAGCCCGAGGCCCTAGTTAATTGGAGGCCAATTGTTATGTAAATTCGTCGTCTCAGTGTTTACCTCGCCAGGAGCCGCACTACCTGCGATCCTCACAGTGCATAAATTACGCCACCAAACAATCACCAGGACCGCTGCACGCGCACACGAGCTCGACTATCATCTCCGGGGGCCAACACAAGCCCTGAAGTCTAGGTCACAGCCAGCAGCAGACATTGTCTCTGAAGCGGCAGCAGATACAGAGGGCTCTCTGGACCGGCAGCTCCCTGTGAGGGCTGCCACCTGTCCGCGCATCGAGCCGGCAGTCTGGTCTGAGTGGCGCGCTGTCGGGGCGGAGCGAGCGGCCGCCGACGCCCGGCTACTCATCAGCTCTGTCGGGAGAGTCCCGACCCGCGTACCGCGCAGCTCTGATGAGAACAAACCGCATTTTTCTTTACACTTGCCAGCATGGACGCTGGAGCTGGAGGGAGCTGAGCGGCTTGAGGATCCGGGTCACCGCATGTGGTAAATGTTGGCGTCAGGCCTATAGGCTATGGTGGGAAATGAAACCAAACTATTCGGTGCTGCTGTACCTCGCCCCTTCCTCCACGCTAGGCATTTTTCTTCGGCATGCTGGTCTGCAGTAAACCAGGCTTCTGGTTCGTCTTGGCAGAAACAGCACGGGTGGAACTTGATATGTCTTTGAGAGGGCCGTGGCCCTTTCCTTCGCGTCAAGAGAAATGATGGGACTTCCCTTCCAAATACGGACTTTAGCCCCAAACTGCTTTTTGCCAAACCATTTGGTAAGTCAGATTTCGTCCAGAGAAGTGTCCAAAAAGCGATTTAAAAGCGATGTAAGCGTCGCAGAAGGTGGCCAAACAGTAATGTGAGACCACTTCCGGTCATTAGCCTGGTTTGACCTTCAAAGAGCCTTATCTATATGATGGTACCTTGGATACTTGATGGTTATGACTTGGTTAGCAGTTTTCCGCCGGAATCACCAATGTTTTCAAGGCTACGGTCACCCTGGGATAAACGGGAGCAGAAAACACGTTTTCACCATTAGGTGAATGCGAATTCCCCTCGTCGGGCGGTCACGCCGTGGCCAGGTACATTCGCCAGGTGTGGTTATGTAAATCGGACCTAACTACCGAACGATGACGTTAATGTGTTTTAAATGGAGCCAAAGTTTCAAGGCAGGGCTTGAAAATCAGCGAGATCGGCTTCAGTCATCGATCATGCACCTCTTTAGCGAGGTAAATGCTCTCGGACCCGGGACTCGGGCGTCCGAAGGCCCGCGGGCTCTTACGCAGGACGCCCCCATTATTTCTTTCCTCCGGATGTGTTTCGCGTCCACGAGGATGGTGAACATGCCGCAAGGTCCATATTTATTCTTAAAAAGGCAGATGGACACCTTCGAAAGCTTAAAAACAGGTTAAAGTGAATGCACAGGACCCGTTGGTCCTGTACGTGACACCAGGAAAGTCGCCCAAATTGCAATCGTAAGGACCTCACTTCGATTGAACTTGAAACCTAAATGGCTTGTCAAAGCTGAAAAACGTCACTTCATTTCAAGTGCGGCGACCACCATAACCCCGCTCAAATCCCACCAGGAGCGTCGTCTCCCATTCAGACTGGGCGCTCCAATCCCCAAAATTTGAGAAGAAATGGGAGCAAATACGAGGATAAACCCGTTTTTTGGCGTGCTTTGTGGGTAAGTTTGGCCACCTTTCCCTGGAGCGCCGGCTCCACCCTCCAACCTATCTTTCCAAAATTAGGCTCCAGACCATGTCCGGTATGACACGTGCAGTCTCGCTCGCGACGGGCCTAGCTGGTGCAAGTGGTGCTGCACCTACTAGGCAGCAGCGGAGGAGCCAGCGGCCTGGCTGATGTAGTGGTGCTGTACTCACTGGGCGGCAGCGGGTGGCCTCCGGCGCCGTTGGTGCCGGGCCGACTGGTGACCAGCGACAGAGGAGACAGGCCCTGCTGATGCAGCGTGGTCGGCATGCCGTTGGACAAGCCGAACGACTGCGCCATCGAGCTGGAAGAGCACCCAAGTCAGGCCGGCCCGTGTCCAGAAGCTCAGAGCGAGAAACATGGCCGGAACACGCGGCACCCTGGATACCAAGGCTTTATTTCTTAGACTACAATCAGAAACAAGAAACACCAGAAAAAGAGATTGCACTCAGAAACGGGCGATATATTTGGTTCTTGCGCATGTCTGAATTGTGACAGATGCATCCGTGCATGCCCAGAAAATTTTGCCAGCGGTTTGTGACATCCGCCAGGAGCGTGAACGTGGCGCCACGTGCTTTCCTGATCCAACAGCGATCTCTCGTCATTCTCGCAACGATTCGGGCCATGGTACCCGGCGCTCACAGTCTCAGCAATTTGCCCGTAACTGATGAGCCTGAATGACTCACACAGCAGAACACAGCACACTACAGAAGTGCGAGCCTGTTCGTACCTGGCCATGAGCGGCGACCTCTGCACGAAGTCGGCGTAAGAGGCGTTACTGTATCCGCCCCTGCGCCCCTCGCGTCGGTTGCCGTCTATGGCTGCCTGCAGGTCCGACGGACTGCTCAGGTTCTCCTTCTGACACTCTTGCGGGTACAGGTACTTCATGTACCTGGCAAACAAAATAAACATGTCCAGAAACTTCTTCCGAGACTCTCTGGGGTTGAAAATCCGATAAGCTGTGAAACGGCACGTGAAACATAAGCTGTGAAACGGTCGTCGTGAAACGCACTGAACTGTATACAAGGACGGGGCCAGAGCTTGCGACGAGAGGGCTAACATGATATGCGATGGGGAGGGATATTCTGTTACGAGCGAGACCCAGTCCAGTCAAAAGAACCTACGCAATGTCAGCAGACTAATAGAACCCACAAACACTAAAACGTACAGTACCTAGGGTATCAATAAACTTTAGATGTTGGTTTGCCCTGCTGCGTTTAACAATCGCTTTAGCAGCGTACTGTGCGTATTCTCTCAGCTGCCCGCTAGTCTTCTTACAAAATAACGGCTGCTGGCGCCTGATGTTGATGCCCATAATGTGTAGTGTCCATGACATTTAAAACATAGTTTTCCTGACCGCCAGTCCGGAGATACATTCAGAAGTGTTGCCGAGAAGACTTGCGGTCGAAGCTGAGCGGCGCGTCGTGCGGGTCAGTCACGGCGCGTCCCAACACTGCACCCCACCCCCATCCCACCCCCTTGGCTACACCACTGAGTGTATAGCGTAAAGCACCTGGTCTCAGACTGCTGTTGGTACAATGAAGAAGGGCTGATAAATGGCGTAGTTATAAGAGAAGGGCTTGCTATTGCTCCGCAGTGCACCTGCCGCACAACAATCACGATGAACGGAGCAATCTTCTCAATACCGTCGTGCCGTTCATTCTGGTGAAGTGAATAGCAGCCGCGTGAAATGCCATTTTGCACAGACTTGTGGCAGAACTTCATCTTAATGTCAACAAAATAAAGTTGCAACGTAAGACAGCACCAACTTGTCGACGTCCAAACAATTATCATGCGTGTCCGCAGGCAGTGTCTGGACGGGGACCCAACACAGCTGTGGTAATATTTTAATGAGATACTAAAGGCATCGAAAATGTAACTGCGGATCATCAATATCAGGAATGATGCAGTCCTTCTCACGCTCTTCACTGACGTTGCTATGGCCGTTCCTGATTGTTGTGCAACAATAAGGCTCGGTACATGCCATGGTCCACACATTTTCAGAAATCACGGCAAGTTCAAATCTTTTGAGCGACATACAGAAAAAATTGTATTTACTTATGATTGTCGGAGGCGGGGAGAGTTCGTATTTCACCATGCCGTTGAAGAAAATTAGTTGAAACGGAACAGTCTAACTCATTTGGAGCGAAACTCTGGGCTGTAGCAACGTTCTGGTGTCAAATACAATGGCGTGAAAATACTCCACAAGTGCCACAGAAACGTAACAATTAATATGAAAAGGTAAAGCTCATGAATAACAATAATAAGAATGATCAGACCACTGCCAACCTTTCGTGCATACTGTGACATAAATTATCATTTCGAACCACAGAACAGAGAGACGACGAACAGGACGATAAACACCACGTCTTAATGGCAGCAAGTGGCGAGTTGTGGCGACACGCACGACAGAAGCGGCCTGGCGGAGAAGGGACAAGGTTTGGTCCACATCACAGGACAAGCACAGCCAAAAACCTGATTCTTCAGAACATTTGTGACGCGGCGGCAGAGTCGTTTAGTGGTGCCGTGAACATGTGGATTCATCGTTTAGTGGTGCCGTGAACATGTGGATTCATCGTTTAGTGGTGCCGTGAACATGTGGATTCATCGTTGCAAACCGGACGTGGGCGGGATGGTGCAGGTGGTGCAGGGACGAGGTAGGATGGTGCAGGTGGTGCAAATACGAGGTAGGATGGTGCAGGTGGTGCAGGGACGAGGCAGGATGGTGCTGATGGTGCAGGGACGAGGACGAGGTAGGATGGTGCAGGTGGTACAGGGACGAATGCTTCGCCATGTTTCATGTAGTTGCTAGCCAAAATGAAGCTGACGGTTTTGATTTCCAGCACGGAGAATCGAAGCACCACAGTGGTGAGAAAGGTGAAATTGGGACCTGGGTCAGTAATCGTCACACGGAGGTCTCGACAGGTCCCCAACTAATCGCTCGTAACACTTATTACTAGACCAGCATTGCGTTTTGTGCGCAAAAGTGATGATTTCATCGCTCACATGAAGTGCAATCGACAACTAGGTAACCTCGATGTCATTGCGACAGGTCATTTCCTGGATGATGTGTATGGTATTTTTATGTTCCGATTCCGCAACTTAAAAAGCGGGTGTCGGCTCGTTACATGTTGCCATTCCGTCGTTTTCTTTTCGTCATTCCTAGTTTTCATGTCCCCGAATCCACGTGCTGTCCTTCGACATTTAGCCTATCCTCATTATACCCCGTTAACACTTAAAAATGCGTCATCTGACCAAGCGCCATCCTTAAGCATGGCTCTTCAACGCGTTGCCGCTGAACGATCAACGACGAGTATTTCACCTCACTCTTAATCATTCCGTTCTACCGTCACGAAGAAACGAGGCGTGCGAGTTCAAATATGAAGACGTGCACGCATTCAGGCGAAGTGAAAATGGCGGTTTAAGCGCATGAGTGAAAGGATTTCACGGAAAGAGGGGCCGTGAAGGGAGAGGGAGAGAGTGAGAAAGGCAGAGGGTGAGAGCGGTGTGCTGCACTTCGTGCCTTTATATCGAGAGTTACGGCCCGCTAGCGTGCCGCGGCCTCATCAGGCTCCATGTTTTACTGATATTAAATCCAGGAATCAGGCGTCCGAAGGGCAACGGCGGACCGCTTATGGCGGATATAAACCTGCAATTATTTATGTAATTCCATCCCGACGCTGAGATCGCAATGGCTTTCGACAAGTGATACGCTTTACTGCAGGGCAGGCGGTCATGGGAAGGCGGCACCACTTCCATGCAATATGCAATAACAGGGCGGATCGCGTTGAGATCCGAGGTTCCTGAATATCATTACGGCTTAATGAGAACGAGTTATGGGGCTACGCGTAAGCCAGAGACGGCAATTGAAACCCAACGTCCGTGTAATCGTGCCGTAATGATCACGTCAGCAACTAGTTTCGAGTCAACACAGGATGTGCTGGCCTGCGCAGCTTGCACACGAACATCTGAGTACACGGACAAATAATACGCACGATCATGTCATCCACTGGGTACCCAGGCAAGTGCACACAACCACGCCATCCACTGGGTACCCAGAAAAAATGCATGCGGTCATGCCATCCACTGGGTACCCAGACAAATGCACACGGCCATGCCATCCACTGGGTACCCGGAAAAAATTAACATGATCATGTCATCCACTGGGTACCCGGAAAAAATTTACACCATCATGCCATCCACTGGGTACCTAGGCAAATGCACACGACCACGCCATCCACTGGGTACCAGGGAAAATACGCACGGCCATGCCATCCAATGGGTACCAAATGCACGCGACCATGCCATTCACCGGGTATGCGGAACAATTAACACGATCATGCCATCCACTGGGTACCCAGACAAATGCACAAGACCATGCCATCCTTTGGGTACCCAGAGACTGAGGCCTCATCAACTGTAGAACAAAGGATGTTTCTGTGAACATGCCTGTATCGCTGGCATTTACGATGGTGTTTGCCAGCACCTGGATGTAAACGCTTGCACGAACAAACATCTGTGACACCACTAGTTCAAGCTACGACAGGTTAGCTGAAACGGCTGTCTTTGACAACAGCCGGACGGCGACACTGATCCACTCACTGTGTGCGCAGGGTGAAGGCTGCAGAGGTGATGGAAGAGGGCAGCTTCAGGCCCTTAATGATCTCCTGCCACAGCTTCTTGTTGATGACTTCCACCAGCCCACCACGGGCTACCACCAAGTTGTACAGCTCGTACATGTCCAGCACCTGCTTCGCCATGATTGGCAGACGACTTATTGGGGTCCCTGAAATCGCAGCAGAACGAACGCGTCAGCCACCCGACAGGCGTCATCCCAAACAAAGCAACGGCCAGCGCTGTTGGAGCGGACATGGAAAAGAACGGGACGCCGGCGCCAACGGCGACTCAGGGCGGGCAACATCAAAACACACGCATGAGCCTGTCAGAGTCCACGGACCACCGGCACGCGGTTCCCATTAACTGCGCCCCGATCTCGACAGTTAACAGAACCTCCAAGAGAAGACACGCCGGGGTTTGTGTGCGCGAGCGTGCGCAATAGGCTCCGCCAAGAACTGAAACAGTTCTTCATGGTGACGGTTCCGTCGGGGGTTTGCTTGCAATCACCACCACAGTCAACGACAAAGTATTGAACCACTGGTCCCCAGCCCCGGCGCCCGCCAAGGACCTGCACCTTGAGGCACGACACGGATAGGATGGTGTCAGGGGAACCAGCTGAGACCGAGGTCCGGCTGTTATGTTATGTCACGCGACCGACCGGATCAAGCTGTCAGGCGGCCGGGGAAGCTCGCCCCGAGAGCGCAACTCAGAGCTGCTCGGAGCCACTCAGAGCTGCTCAGAGCGACTCAGAGCTGGGGAAAGCTTAAGCCTGTATCAGCGACAGCCGACACCGCCCGACGCAAACTCAGTCATCTTCTAGAGGAAGAAGAGCACCCTCCTGCACGTGTGCAGCGCAGAGGGCCTGTCCTACAGGAATGCGCGACGATTTCGTGTCTCTTGCCAAAGGAGTGTTACAGCACGGCTCTCCGTCTACCTCACATGGCTCCATGAAGTGATTGGATTCCATCTTCACTGCTTAGTCTCTGGACACTGCGCCAAAGGTCACCATGCTGATATCACACGACCATCCGTCGATCCGTCGGACAAACAGCAGTCCAAATTGTCTGCGCTGATGCGACCGCTCCCCAACTTGGATCCGATATGATCACGATGTTTGGTTGACATAGGATTTGATGCTCGGGTACTTTCTGTGGGGTATATTTCAAAGTCCCTCACATGATATGCTCTTTCCTCGGCACAAGGATAACTCGATCAAACACTGGACTGCGGCAGGGGTTGGTGAGCCCTGGCGTATAACTACTGCTGTCCGCAATCAGCACAGACTCACTTCCGTGACACGTGCCGGTGGACTCGAGGGAGGGGGTAGCGACAGCCGGAGCTGGGTTCAGCGACCTGCGATCCCCCGGCGCCGGCGCCAAACAAGAGCGGCCGTCGTCCGCGCGAGCCGTCCGGGGGCCCGGACGTGACGTCATCGCCGATCCCCGAGCCCGCGTCACCCGAGTCGGCAGGTGGCGGTGAGTGGTGCCCGGCCGTGAACCGACGCCGAGATTGCGGCCGGCGGGGGAGAGGGGGGGGGGGGGGGGGGGGGGGGGGAGGACGCCACCCTGCCGCCAGATGTCCAGAGGACCTCGATCTGCCTCTCCGCTCACGCGCCAGGTGTCGCCGACCGCGACGCCCGCCGTCGACGACGACAGAGCAGCTGGCGTCGAGGCGTCAGGCCACAAAGCAGGCCAGAGCCGGGCACCAGAGAACCAGCTCAGCACTGTTAGGCCACGGAGCAGGCCAGAGCCGGGCAACAGAGGACCAGCTCAGCAGTGTTCGACCACAGAGCAGGCCAGAGCCGGACACCAGGGGACAGTTCCGGCAGCGTCGGGCTACGGAGCGGGGCGGATCCGGGCACCGGAGGGTCAGATCAGCAGCATCGTCGGCCCGGGGAGTCCCGTAAGGCGGTAGTGATCTGCGCAAGGCGGGGGGGGGGGGGGGGGGGGGAGGGGAGGGCGACCGGGCACGGTCAGCCACCGCCCCGCCGAACTGGCTGCGAGGGCGCATACCGCATGCGGTTGTTGGCGAATGTAGTGCAGCATTGAACAAGAAGCGGTCAGTAAGGGGTCGTGAGGTTGTGTCGGTGGAGCTGATTGACACTGTAAACGTCCCCGGCCGCACTCCCACATCCCGCTGACACCCAAGTGACACCCAGTGAAAAAGGCCGCCGCAGTGAAAAGTTCGTGCGGTGATGTGGGTGATATGAACAATGGCTGTTGTCCCCATGGGCGAGTATGCATCCATATGCCTCACAGCATGCAGAAACAGAGCTCAGCACATTCGCCATCAGAGGACTCATAATGTAATTTAATGCATGCAGAAATGCAGTATGCAATGATCATACTGTTTATCATAATATGATAAGATCGGCATGCCTAGCCAGGACTGACGTCAATCGACATTTAAATGGGAATATATACAGATTGGAAATCATGCGTGTGTCTTTAGCTGCAGGCTCGAGATCCGGTCATCATCGTGTTATAAGACGTCTCGCTCCTTGGAATGCACACAGTCACATCAAGCCGTCAGCCACGTGGTTTTCATCCTAAAAAACTTCCAGACCTTCAGACTGTCTTGTTGGTTTTGCCGCAACTGCGTTAGTACAAATGTCGCTAACTTTCACTACTGTGCGCCCTTTTGTAAGGCAAAAGCCATGACCTTTGATGTGTGCGCCCGCTGTCGCCATTGAAGAAACACGGCCCGGTTGACCTTGGAGATCGCATAAAATTGTAGCATCCAATCACATAAATATGTTGGAGAGATAATGGGCACCTTGGACATTCTAGGGTGCCTCTCGTAAACCCATAATGTCCCATGGGTCCAACACGCGGAAATTACACACAAAGCGTCCGGCCGGGAGAGACGGTGGGGTTTGACACAGGAGAAATGCGGCAGCACTAAGACGCCCGTAGCCGGTAATTTCGTATCGTTTATGAAGACAGCTTTACTGGGGATGCGAATTGTTCTGGCTGATTGATAGTTCTGATAGGAGCGCGGGATAATTTCCACTGCGAGGCCTAGTCCCGGGCCGGAGGCGTGACAATGGCAGGCATTCCGCCGGATTCCGTGGAATACGTCACTGGCCGGGCGACAGTTTCGGCGTCCCGGCGCGCCGTGACGGCCGCCCGACGCTCCGCGACGCAGTATACCGCGCCATTCGGGAGAACAAAGGCAACGGACGGAGCCGCGGGCCGCTGGCACCCCGGACTCGAGTGACGCCGTCGGGTGGGCTCCCACTCCCGCCGAGCGATGGCTTACAGGCTGCGCTACGTGGCGTTCTGAGGTTTGGCGACCCCCGTAGGAGACGACGCTCTCATGCCAGAGCGTTCGGAGCACCGACTCCGTGCCCATCACCTCCATGACCCGTCTTGTATGTAAGCCATGACAGCACTCTTTCCACGCCTTCAGGTAAGGTGAGTTCCGGACGCCGATGGTCATCTGAACCCATGAAACCATGTGGATTTGCGGCCATCCACGGTGTTGGAATATTAATGATAGTTCATTTTTCATTGCGGCTGTTCCGTGCTGTTTACCTGAGCCCGTGCTTTTCTTCACATTTCACCCTGTTGGGGGGGGGGGGGGGACATATAGGTGGTATGACCCGATTCAGAACAGCAAGCTTAGCGTGCTTCCATCCAAGCCCGGTGCCAGCACCGTCCATTTCAAACACCCAGACTAAATCTGACAAACATTCAGAGCTCATCACTCAGCTGCGGCTGGAGACCATCCAAACCACCGATTGATTTACCGTAGAATGGGCATAAACTTCCCACGCTTGATAGGAGCATTATCATAAATTGGCGCTGTAGTCCCGGCCACCCATCGACACACAGCATGGCCTCCAGTCAGAGCCACACCTCGCAAGACGGATGGGGCGAGCCGGTCCGCCGCCGTTCGAACACAGGCCCAACACTGGTCGGGCATGGGGCGAGCCGGTCCGCCGCCCCCGAACACAACCCCAGCACTGGTCGATATGGTCGGCCACACAGTTCGCTTACTCAACTATACACAGGGGCGTAGGGAAGTCCCGAGAAGTCCGGATTGAGCCCATTTCTTAGTCAACCCCGCCCGCACCACCACACGGTGGTTGCAAGACCTCCGTAGAAACTGAGAGCTGGCATGCCTCTTCTTTTCCAGCGCTTGCGGCATAAGGCATTACATGCCAAATTCATAGAAACGTGCCTTGTTATGTCCCCAAAACAGGAGTACGTGATGGGCCCTAACGGGACATATACGGGCATATACACATAGTGCACATACGGCACAAACACATAGGGTCTACCGAAAAGCTTTATGGCTTGTGTACACACTGCGTACTCAATTGGGACACTTCCTGATTTTTACGGCACGTTGTACTTAGTTCGTCTTCACTTATGCTACGCACAGGAATTGCAACGTCATCGTCAATAGGCCGGCAAACGAGTGGTGACGTAAAATTCAGGAGCGGTATCCATAACCGCTATAAAAGCGTTGCCTGTTTGGGCATTTGGAATGTGCAGCAAATCCGCCAGCTGACAACTGACCTCTGTTGTGCATGAACCGGAACAGGTCGTCTAGGAACTCCTTCCTCTTGGGGTTGTCGTCTATCTCGTACAGCTGGAAGGAGATCTTTCGTTAGAGAACGACAGGAACAGCCCCAAAAGGAATGATGCACAACCTACAACGCTCAACGCGACGCACAAGTAACTGGACAAGCTGTGGTCAAGATCCGTATCGTGCAGTGCATTCATTCTCAGCGCCCTGTCCTTCCAGCTGTGCTCCACTAAGCTGTCGTGTGCCGTTCAATGATCATGTCATCCATGCACGGGTGTATGGCAGTAACCAGCGATGCACACGACACGCCCCACCAGGAACTCGTGGACCGCCATTGTAACATCCTCTACGCACAGCCCTTTTCCAAGGCTGACATCGAGCCTCCCCACCCACGGGCAGCCCTGGCCAGTGCCTCGCGCGCGGGCCGGTACCCAGCTCAGCGTCACCAGCCGCGCGGCGGCGGCGGCGGCGGCAGCGGCGGCGGCGCGGCGGCGATGTCGGAGGTGGTCGAGCGCTCGACGCCGCGCGGTTCCCGGTACAGCTCGTGTCGGACCGGCATAACCGGCGGCGCCGCGCCGGCGCTTCGCCGAAGCCGCGCCGACCGCCGCCGTTGCCCACAGCCCGAGAAGCGGCCGTGCCGCCGCCCGGTCAGCCCAGGTCAGGGCAGTGCGTCCCACATGGAGCCACATCAGAGGCTCTCTGACAACCAGGGTAGGTTGGGTCTCTGCATCCTAAGGACGCGAACTTTGGATCTAGCCAGGAGGCAAGCGTGTGGATAGATGGGTAGACTTTTGGTTGGGCTGACCTATCGTAATTCCTCCTTGAAAGACTGGCCCTGGATGCCCGATCGGGTCGCTGTGGCTACAGCTCCAGCGTCTCTTGGTGCTGTAAGCTCGACCCTAGATCATCTGATTAAAAGCAGGTGGCGAGTGCTCTAGGAAAGAAAACTCATACCATGCGTATTAAATACATTGAAGTTAACATAATCACGTGGAAAGACGCAGCTGCATTTCAACTGCCGTGAAATAACTGTGATGATTTAAAAATGGTATAGGCCTGACTGCTCTGACAGCTGCAGAACGCGAGTTGAGATTTCTGTCTTGTCTTTCCGTCACGTTGCTAAAAAAATCTGAAAATTGTAGCTGCAAAATGGTGATTGCCGAACTTCCAGCAAAGGCCAAAAACCGATGAGACATTGCACTTTAACCAGATGGAAAGCTGAAAGCAGCAATCCGAATTGACTATGTTGTATTTGTAATGTACGCGTGCGTCGACTTTTTAGGCCCAAAAGCCTACACAGCAGATGCAGGTGTTAAGCGTTACAAACGTCGGGACTACAAGGCTCTGATAGCCAATGCTCAAAATATACACCCGATGAGGGGAGGATTGAACATAACTGGAGATGTGTTTTGAAGAAAATGGTACTTAGTATCATGCACACCTAGCTCCTGCTCAAAATATGTTTTACGAAGTACTGGAATCGTCAACCAAAAGATGCAGAGGCATACGCCAGCAGCGGGAACTAGGCTGACGTTGAGTAGGCCCGTGGCTGGGAAAGAAGTCCAAACTATCTCAAAAACTCAGTTTCTCGCTGAACTTCGTCTACTTTATTTTCGGCGCATTAGGAAGAATGGCAAACAGTACGAATACTTCGTCTTACCTTTGTTATGGTTCAGAAGACAAGATTAAGCAGCTCGGAATGATGACAAGTCATTAACGGGTATTAACCCAGAGTAACGGGGCCCGACCGCCACCATACCCATTGCCTCAGGCGTTAATCCGCACCACAGCAGAAATCTTGCCACTTCTGCACTTCTTTTTGGGCGGCTAACACAGTAGCCCCACAGCCTACCGTGCTGCCATAATGCCAGTACATGATGTGGTTCCACCCGCCCACACGCTGACCACGCCGAAGCTTAAACTTCGCAGAAATTCTGCAGCGTGAAGGACGGAAGCCTGGAAAAGCTATCATGCTGTCAAGGTAGGACGCGGCCACCTTACACGCATTTAACTCAAAGACGAGTTTTCGGCGAGCTCTTCAGCAAATCTGAGGCCTGGCTGACTGCATGAACCAGGCAACAGGCTGCATATGTACACATGCATCTGGAATTTCGACATCCGTTGTCTCATGCTTGTGGGATCGAGAAAATGTCTGTATCCGCAGACGACCACAGTCTGAGCATGCAAACAGACATTAATTGCAACAAAATGTCTGCTTACTGCCCAATTTAACAATTCTGCAAACTCCGCCGGAGAATGCGTCATTAATGTCCATTTCGCCCCCAGAAGCGCTTCCGCACACCATTCAGGCCTATTATGGCCCATTATGGGAAATAGACCGTGGTCCAAAGTAGCGTATTGGATGTGAAACGTGTCATTCCTAAGCCTTCTGTGATGCCGCGGTGCAGCCCGTGAGCTCTAGGCTCCAGCAGGATTCAAATATCATGACGAGACTCGATGCAAGATGCGTGCTTCCTGTGCCGATGACAAATATCTTGAGACCCGGACCGGTTGTAAGGCATTGTGGTTTGCGAAACAGTGATGAGCCGATTCGGACTAAGACATTTTTGACTGGATTGAGATCTTGGGTTTCTTAAAAGTCCCGTGACGTTCTCAGAAAGTATTGCATAAGACTATGTACAGTTTCAAATGATCTTTCTGATATAACAAAAACGCGTTGCTCCCAACGCAAAACTTGATCAGAAAGGTTCAGATCACACATGTTCCAATTTACGCTGTTACGCGCCCCGACAGGCAGCCACTTTTCGCTCGATATTCCCAATTTCCTCTTTCTACAAATTAAAACCTAATATGGTTGCCTTCTTGCGTAGAATAAGAGCGCCTCCCAGACATGTCCTCCCTTGCGGATTAAAGGGAGTGTTCCACAGTTATATGGGGTTTTAAACTGAAATAGCCACATTGAAAACCTTACGGTGATGTTCTCAATCCTGCCCTTTTTAGGACCTAAGCACCTCTAGTTTCTGGGCTACACGCCCGCTAAAATGGGAAAAGGTATATCGGGGAGATGATTTCAAAGCCACTTTGGCATCCATGACGTCAAAATAACGTGATTAAAATCCTGCCATTCCATAAGCCATGCGGCGACCAAGACTAAAAATATATTTATCGAGGTTCATATCCGGCGTTCGTGAGCGCGATTTCAGATATAACGGCCGTCAACTGGCCCCCAATCAATGTTGTGCAAGGTGTGATGAGGCAATCAAACCATGACGCATTGAGAAGCATATTTACTAAACAGAGAATTGCGCTGTCTAGAGCAACATTTTCCACCTAAAATGAATACCTCTAGTCATAAGTGAGTTTGTCACATCATATATGATGCTTGCTCCAGCATCTTCAAATGTGAAACATCCCCTTTGATGGATGACCTTTGAATGGAGAGCGCCTGGTAGCAGTAGATTGGACACACTGTCGGTGGCATTTGACATGGCGATGAGCAAGGGCCTGGCGGCCTGAAAAATATTTTTCAGGCTGCATGTATTTGCGTTAAGTTAAAATGAGCGTCGGCATTAAATTTTACATTGCGACAACGTACAATACAATCTAATCGGTGAAACATGACTTGCAGCCTGATCGGCTGGTCGCCGAGGTTTTTGAAGCCGACTTTAGCACGGAGCACCATATAAAGTTGCCATATTCCAAAATTACTTTAAAATGTCACTGGTGTGTGCCTATTTTTGTCGCACCGAAGTGAGATAAAAATAGGCTGAGTTGAGGTAGGTGATGACATCGAGCAGCCAGAAAACATACTGAACTCACGTTCTCACATAAGGGGGCGTTGCTAACGTACAGCCAGTCGAAGGCATACAAAGTCGAAAACTCCAAACACAGGCAGCGGATCTTAACCAAATTTGTGCAGGACATTGAGTTGCCTTTCCACCCTTTTCACCACATGCAATTTCATTTCGTTGCCTATTTCGTATCGCTAAATGTTGTATCATTACCGCGAGAAAAGCGCTAGAGCATTTCACCAGTGCGACTGGGTCTTCGCTCACCATAGCATCGGGGTGGCGGCCAGATATGGGCGACTTTGGAGAATAATCAGGTCAGCAAGCCTCGTCTGTTTCATGCTGTGCCTTGTGATACTGTTGTTGGTCTCATTCTTAGTTAATGACACGACATTGTAGCGCTGGAGAGGGCATCTCTCTGCTGATGTTATGTTGTAGACGGCTTACAACGTTCTCGCATGATGTGGCATCATGCATGTTTGCCATCTCATAATAGCTATAGCAGCTGTAATCCACCGTTTCTGAAACCATGTTCTCTGATTATCCCGCGTCTCTTACGTGACCTTTGAGCACCACGCAGCGATTTTTCCGAGACTGCCCCAAAAATTCCTAGTTTTGCGTTCACGACTTTGAATTGTGCGTTTCCAGGTCTGCAGTATGGCAAGCCTGGCCGTGGCTCTTGTCCGCCCCAGCCAAGGAACCACGACCGTAGCGACCAGACCTTTTCGCAGGGTCTGTATTGCAAGTCATTCCTGCCTGGCGAGGGCATTAGGTACACTTTTGATCATTTTGGACGGACTTTTCTGGTATCTACGTCAACAAGCGTCCATCTGCATATTTTGACCTTTTTTGATACACCAGTGCAGCGGCGGCGCACCGACTTTGACAGCTCCGCCTCTGGTGGTAATTGACCCGTTTGCCCCAAACCGCTTTGGCGACCTGTGACACCAGGTTTTCTGCCAGGCTGCTGGTCGCGTCACGGACAGCATGACCTTGGCGCCTGTTGCAGACCATGTCTGTCTAAGACATGTCTGGCCAATATATCTAATATGTTTCGAATAATGTCTTATGTATATTGAGATATATGCCGATATATAATGTAGTTGTAGCTGTGCAATACATCTATGCATATATATATATAAATATATATATATATATATATATATATATATATATATATATATATATATGTATGTATTGCAAGTCAAGACGTATTTGAGGTTCGAAATCCCTCAGATGCTCAGTTTGTCAAGCTTCAGCCCAAGTGTCGTCGCTCACGCCACGGCTTCTTTTTGACGGGAAAATAATCTAGCA